AAACTCGCAAAGTTTTTCAAGTTTAAAACCTTAGTTTTTTCAAAAATAATTAATAATGGAGATATTGTTGCAAAGAAGGATTTTACAGCAAGTTTTAAAAGCGAAAAAAGAAGAGGTTTTCGGATGATATACAACGAAAATTTGGCATGAAAGGAAAGCGAATGTATTGACGTTTTGGGCCAAATTTTTCTGTGAACCTTGCGCGAGATTTTCAGCCAAAAAGATGAGGATTTCTCCAAACTTTATTAAAAATAGAAGTCGGAAATCACAAGAAAGATGAACACGGAACTCAAGTGAGCAGATACGATATTTTTAAGGGTATTTTTGAGTAGAAATATGCGATCAAACACTCACAAAATTCGACCGCATTAAAGTTGGTTGAATCTAGTTTAAAGTTATCTTTTTAGACGAACTGTTTATGCAAATTTGGGAACAATTTCGACTGTTTTCGTAACCCCATTCTTGGTCTTCTTGTTCAAGTTGTTATTTTAGCTAAAGTATGTTTCAAACGACACCAGATTAAATTACTATGTGCGTATGTGCCCTTTTTGGCAAGAATACTTCGAGTATTAAATTACACTAAGTAAGTAGGATACTCCAAAATCACTGTTATATCTATTTTCATCAATTTAGTCTTAAAACGACAACTCGTTTCAGACATATTGTGGTTTAAAATAAGTGTATTGAATTAGTGCGCTTGCTGGCCGCGTGCGAATTTTCAAAAAGTCTGCACTTGAGTTCTAAAGCTTTTAAAACGCTTTTTCTATTGGGTTTTATATCCCCATAAAACTTTAAATCGATAAAGCAGATAATAATGTTGATGCAACCTCATTTTCTAGTAACTACACGTTGAATCAGAAGGAAAAGTTATCAAAAATAGGTCGCGACCGTTGCTTGCAAAATGTCGCTTCTCTCTGAAATGGCTTCCTTTGCGGGAAGCCATGAAATTGAAGTCCTAACAAAAACATAGTTTAGCAGTTCTTTTGGGCCCATAGCTCACTTATTTATCATGAAATCACTTCACTAGAACATTTTTACTAATGTCTATGGGAAACTTTGTTATTTTCTGAACTAAAAGTTTATGGTTTTGAGGTGTTTATTTTATAAAATAGCACGCGCGACAAAATGGCACTAATGTGGTTTCTCATGTCTGACAAACAAACAAACAAACAACAAAAAACAAACAACCAAAGATGAAAGTCCTTATTTCACCCTTTTATAGCTATGTTGAATACCTGACTATTAGGTTATCTTTTTCATTTGAGCATACAGATAACATTTCTACACAATTAGTCCTTATGAAAGCTTATTTCAAACTAAAAAAAGCGATTGTTTTTCAGAGCCAGACTTCAAAAGAGAACGCGTGTCTGACATTTTATAGCAGCCTACATTGGCGCGCAAAATAATTTTGGCTAAAAACTGTTTCTTTCCAAACAGAAACATGAGAAAATTGAGCTAAAAGGCTTACCTGATGTATGTTTAAAATGTTTTTCTCTTTATGGTGTTTTTCAGTGCTTTGAGTAGAGAAGTGAATAACTTTTGGTTTTGTCACCGCAATTTGCCTTTGAAAATGTCGGCTGTCATTGTCTGTGTTAAAAACACCTCAGAAAATTCCTATTTTCTCACCTTCCCATCCTTGGTTTATATTGAAAATAAATAAATTCTAGTACCATATGTCATTTTAAATATATGTGAGGTAATTAAAAACTCCAAAGATGAACAAGCACTGTGTTTTGGCTTGCACATTTTGTTGAATTTTAACACTTAGTTACTGTTCTAAATTTCGTGTTGTAAATATCTTGCCCAAAAAAAGCAAATGAGTATTTTTTATAATTTTTGATCGTTTTCTAATTCATATCCCAAAAGATGAAAATTGGTTATAATATAGATATGTACTAATTTAGTAAATGATTTTTTTTTTGGTTTTTATATAAATTAATATTATATAAAATAATTTATATTGCCCCTTTAGGTGATGAGTGACATGAAAAAAAAAGTGTCACTGCTTTACAAATAAAAATTCTCATTGAAAAAACTAATGATATATGTAGGTATGCAAAGTCATTTAAACTAAATTTGGTCAATCATATATCACTAATGTTTGGTTGAAAAGATCAGATTTTTTTATGCAACTGTTTCTGAGATATTGCCATTTTGGTGAAAGCTCTTGAATTCAATCACATATTCGCCATATTGCTTGCGCCTTAGGCGGGTAGAAACATTGTAACAGCTTGCCGCTTAATGAGTTAAACAACGATCATTATCAACTATCATATAGTTTGGTTTCATTTTTTGCCAATTTATTTTTTACGTATATTGAGACGTGTATTGATAGATCGCTCATTTTAATTCTGAGTCTTGACAGTAGCACACGCAAAGCAAAAATGGGTCAGAAATGTTTTAAGGGTGGGAATGATACACTGTGGATAACGTTTAAATGTAATTTTGTAAATATTAAAAGAAGTAATATTGATATGGATTTTGCAGATGGTAACGAGATAAATAAAGAGGAGGACGAAAATTGCTGTTGTTTACAATGGCTGTGTCGGAGACACCGGCAAAAAGAAGAAAGGGGAACGATGGAGCTGCCGCCATTGTAGAAAAAAAAACCCGGCGGACTTAGTAAGAAAACTTCGCAAACTTGCTAGTATGGTTGTTGAAAATAATATTCGCAAACTTGCTAGTATGGTTGTTGAAAATAATAAAAAACGACATTTGGTAAAGCTGGCAAATATGGTAAAAAATAATACTAGTCGTCGTCCACGTCCACAACAGCGTAGTTATAGAATTGACGACAGAGATATTCAAGAATTAGCTAAATTAGTTAAAAAGAATCGAAATATTAACGTACCACAAATGACATTTTCAATACGTCAAAATACGTACACATGAACGTTTTGGGTATACGGAATATATATTTGATGTAAATGTTGGTAGTGAACACATGCGTACATTGCCTGATTTCTTAATAAATCTTCGTAAAGTATTTGAATATTTAATTAATACGATGAAATATTATGCGGAATTGAATAACTCAAAAGCACGATTTTATATCTCGAATGCCCCACACACCCCTTTTTCAACAGCTATTTTAAACGTGTCGGATTTTACAACGGATATGTTTTTTAACATTTTTGAATGACACATGCAAAGTAATGCACAAGAGATAATAAGTAATGATTGGCACACAAATGTTAGTTTGTATATTTTTCCAAATTCCTACATACCATGTCAAACTAAAAAAAAAAGTTAACAAACACAGTAAATTGTATAAAAATTTCGGAAAAGCTAATGCAGAATTGGGTAGTGGGAAAAAAAATGACGTGGTATCAAAACATGGTCGCGAAGTGTGACACAGTGTTTTTCAGATTGGCAAGACGAATGTGAAGAACGGTTGTTTGGCTTTAGCCCTATTAGTGGGTAAATCCTACTTGCAAAACGATACAACTGCACAGAAGTTAGCTAGAAATCAAAACCTTACATTAAGTGAACTGTATAGCAACGATGACGTAACAAATGTATACACAACCAGCGGGATACCTGTAGGTCCCGTACGGTGTCGACCAACTTCAACTGGTTTATGAGAATTACTTAAAACCCGACGGTATTGATTTAGTTGTTTTTTCAAAAAACAGTCTGACACAATTGTTTACGATTCACAAGTAGACGCTAATCAGCAGATACATCGGATTACAAACAATGTTATATTTCTTTGGCTAAATGATTCGCACTACGATCTCATATTATCGCCGTACACGTTTTCACGTTTGAATTTGGGTAAATTTTGTTTCAGTTGTATGCATTACTTTCGACGTGTCGAAACGAAAACATCGCGTGTTTGTAGAACATCTTTAACATGTTATCGGTGTTATTCTTCAACAACAAAGTGTCCAAAAGAGCCCGAGTTTCAACAACAATGTACCGAATGTGATGTGATATTTTACAACAGTAATTGTTTTTTTAACCATTTAACGCAAAAGACATTTAAAACTGTTGTCAAACGCTTGTCAACGATGGAAACAGCGTGTCAACGTTTTTTTTTGTGCCACATGTTATAAAATTGTAATGCGAAAAGCCATGGTTAACTCATTAAGTCTCATTGCGCCCCCATGCGCCCTGGAATTGGGAACGGGGTAAGTCTCATTGCGCCCTCATGCGCCCTGGATGACACGTCAACTTCCGGGCACGATTGTCTAGCGCATGTTTATCGGGTTGCCTAGCAACGGTCACTAGTATAAAGTGCAAAATTCGGGCTTTCAGAAGATACATCATGCGAGAAAATTGATCAAAAGGTTGCGAAGATTTTCGATTTTAAAACTCTATTTTTTTGCAAAACCTGTGACAACCGCAAAGTGTCACAAGATAGGACTTTGCAGCAAGTTTTAAGGATGAAAAAGAAGAGGTTTTTAAAGAGTTTTACATATAAAATATATTGTAAAACATAAGGGAGTGTGCATATGTTTCAAGTCAAGTTCTTGTCCAAATCAAGTCGCGCGATTTTCAGCCAGAAAAACAGCAATTTCTTTCAATCTAACGGAAAAGTGAAGTGGGAAATCGCAAGAAACATGAACACTAAATCCAAGTGAGTAGTTACGATTTTTTTGAGCGTGTTTTTGAATGAAAATACCTGGCATGTTTTCATGAAATACGATATAGCATTAAAGCAAGTTCAATCTAGTTTAAAACTAAGTTTTTAGAAGAACTTTTCGTGCATTTTATGGCATGATTTCGACTGTTTTCGTGACCCTACTGTTGGTCGTCTTGCTCAAGTTGTTATTTTAGCCGAAGTACTTTTAGAAGACAGTAGGTTCAACTTGTCATGTGCGTATATACATTTTTGGCAAGAAAAATTTCGAGTAAAACTGCATTAAAACTAAGTAGAATACTCTACAATGAATACTATATCTGTTTCTGGAATTACTTCGCTTGAGCTCTTTTAATAATATCTGCAAGATACTTTGCTATTTGGTGAAATAAAAGCTATATTTTTAGCAGTTTATCTTTTGAAAACTGCATGCGCAACAAAGTGTCACCAATGTGTTTACTCTCGTCTGACAAACAACCAAAGATGAAATACTTTATTTCACTCTTTTATAGCAATCTAAAATGCCTAAATATTAGATTATTCATTTTATTTGAGCATACATATTATATTTTTATACAATTGGTCCTTGAAAAGGACTTATTTCAAGCTAGAGTCAGATTTCAAACTAGAGTCAGATTTCAAAAGAAACCGCCTGTCTGACATTTTACAGCAACCTACATTGGCGCACACGACGTTTTAGCCACAAATCCGTTGTTTTCTCAACAGAAACAAAAGGAATTTCAGTTAAAATTCTTACCTGATGAATATTCAAAAGTGTTTATCTCTTTTTGACGACTTTCAGTGCTCTTAATAGCGAAATAAAAAGCCTTTTGTTTTGTCACCGCACGCTGCGTTTGAAAATGCCGGCTGTCAAAGTCAGAATTGAAAACACCTCAAATATTTTAAAATTTTCTCACCTTTTTCATCCTTTGTTTATATTTTAATTAGTAGTTTTTGTACTTCGTGTTTTTCCAAACATATTTGAGCTATTTAAAAACTTCAAAGAGGTACAAACACTGTGTTTTGGGGTTACAGAGTTTCTGAACTTGAACAACAACTTCTGAAGTTCAAGTTCTCCATTGTAAACTAGATGTCCTGAGTGTGCCTGAGCTATGCCCAAGCAAATTTTTATAGCGTTTCATTATTTTGTAATTTATACCCTACAAGATGAAAACTAATTTGAAAATAAATGTGTACCAATCCAGGAATCAAAAAATATTTCTCCATTTATGTTGGGTTATTGAATTACGATGTACCTACGAGAAACCTTTTATAAAAAAACTATGAGCATTTTTTACCACATCCATCTGACCCACACTGTGACATTTCTGTTGAACCAGTACCCTGTTGTGAATACAGACAATATGTTTGTGAGAAAAATAATGATGATATAGTACGGGAATTAGTTGACTTTATTATGACACAACCCAAGGGTAGCATATGGATTGTGCAAAATGGGGGATGCTTTGATAATATCTTTTTAATGTGTGAATTGTTAGTTGAACGTAAAATTGTACCCAAGGTTATTATGAATGGTAGTAAGATCATGTGCATGGAATTAGAAGAGCGTAATTTAAAAATAATTGACAGTTACTTGTTTCTTAGTATGCGGTTGAGTAAGATTCCAGAAGCGTTGGGTATTGAGAATGTTGCTAAGGGGTTTCACCCCTATCTATTCACAGATTTAAATTACGTGGGCCCCATGATTGGTTTAGAGTATTTTGAACCACCGGCCGAGGGTAGTAAGGAACATAAAGCATTTGATAAATGGTATCAACAGCAAAAAAGTAAAACCTATGTGTTTCGTGAAGCTATATATTACTATTGTCGTTTAGATATGGATATTCTTATACAGGGTTTCATTATATGTGCAAGATTAATCTATAAAGTAACGGGTATACTACCCTTTTATGACCGCACATGTCATACAGTAGCGGGTTTAGCACTTAAGATATACCGTAGTAACTTTTGCAGGAAGATCAAATTGGTCAAATACCAACATGTGGGTACGGTGGCGCAAACATAAATCAAAGTGCTATAGCATTATGTTGGTTGTGTGAAATAGAAGATGAGTTACGTGAAAATAATATGCGACTTGACAGCAAACTTTCCGTAGGTGGTGAGACACAAATTATGGGTCATTATGTTGACGGTTACTGCGATGAAACGAAAACAATTTATCAATTTCACGGTTGTTTTTATCATGGTTGTAAAAAATGTTACGATGGAGATGCTTACAATAATATTGTTCATGAACAAATGAAAAATTAACCTTTCCCCTGTGTCGCACATGTGTGACAAAATAACAGCAACAATGGTGTACACATAACGACGAGGAACGTGCACTATACGGCACATGGACAAGTGTTGAAGTACAAAAAGCACTTGAATTGGGGTATAAGGTTTTAAGAGTGTGTCCATGATAGAACCAGGCCAAACCAGGCAGGGTGTGCTACATGTGGGTTCACCGATTTTGCTCAAACTTGGCACAATTGTGGGACATAATGAGTTATGAACTATCCCAAATTATCAGTTGGATCGGTGGCTTTAATGGTATGTTACGGTACCCTTCCTCTAAAAGACCATCTTGACCACCCAAAACGGCATAAATATATCCCAAGTACAATGAACCACAGAAATTTAAATATAAATTGTAGAAGTGTGAAACATATTTTTCTGTGAAGTAGAGATGCTAATTAATGTTACCTAGAAATGAGGTGCATTTTTACTTCTAAGCCGTTGCCATGGCAACAATATGTTTATGGGCAAAAATGTCAAAGTTGATATTACATAGGTTTTGTGTATTTCAGAGGTCAATATTTCAGAAGTCCACTATGAAAATGACAAAAATTACTGTTACTTAATTAGATATATATCTTAAATTACTAAAACAAGAAAAAAATTTGAGGGCAGTTATTAACTGTAAAATTTACGGTGGATTTGCTCGACCCTACTTGGCCAATATCACATAATCCGTTCACATCTGCAACAACAATTAAAGTGATTTGACTGCTCCAAGCCGCCTTAATATGGCTTCTGATAACCAGATCGAATTTATTTTTTGTTGCTGCAATGTAAACAATTTTCAATGAGGTGCGAAATTGGTTTCAAGAGAAGAATTTTATGGAGACATGTATAAACACATTTTACGTTTATTTACCTTTAAAGTTGTGCTTCTGAGTTTTATTTCAAATTGAAAAGTTTGCCAAGGCAACTTTCAAAACTCCAAAATGCGATAATAATTCCGGTTAGATGAAGAATGAAGCTTGTAATGTATATTTTGAACAAAACAACAAACATTCATGATACACACCGTGGACGTGGTAATAGTCAATCATGGTTCTATTCTATAATTCTATAGCACAATGGATAGCATCTACTTTCTCCTGTCGTACCAAGGCTTCCTCCAGCACCTGAATTTCATCATCAGCAATATCATCTGCGTGGAGTTTACCGCATTTATTGAGAACACTTAATCTTGAAAAGTAGCTCTTGACCTGTTGCGCTGTCAACCAATCCGAACATTCAAATAATTTACTTTTGCCATCATCAGTTTTCAGGCTCTTTATTCCTGATGACACATCTGATGGATTTGCCTTTCTTCCTGTTTCCTCTCCTTCCAAGAACAATTTCTTTAAATATGCTTTTAAATGTTCTGAGTAACGACCTCTGGTTTTAGACTTCTTTAACGCCCAGCCCACTTCTGCACTAGCCTTAGCTACACCACTGCATTCATGAAGAGTGTTATTCTCTAGGTCTCTGGCACCATTTGCGCCAGTGCCTACAGATGTGCAAGCTTGTATCCATTTTCTTTTAATGGAGTCGATGGATGATTCATGGTGTGCTCGGTACATGTGCTTTCCAGAATCAAGATGTCGATCAAGAGCGCTACTGAATACAAATGCTTTGATGCAGTTAACATCTGGGCAGTTGAAACCTCTAGCTGTACTTATATCGTTTGAGGGAGTACCATCTGATTTCTCAGCCGCCTCCTGTGTCAATCTGTTTTCTTTTCGGATTCTCTTAAATACACCCTTATCTTCCTTCGGATCACTGAATGTTTCGATAACGCAAAGGCCTGTGCTTGGCTGGGGGCTTGCCATATCTTTGAGCACTTTGTTCTTCAGAAGTTTACCTTTGCCAACTCAACCTTTGCCAACTGCTTTCCAGACTCGTATTCCTGTACTCAGAAATTCAAAGTTATTCAGTGACTGTATTCCCTTCCACTTATGATCAGTCATGACCTGTTTTGATACATCGACATCAACGGCGGCAACCCTACAGCTTTTGACACTACCATACGAATCAAGTGCTCTCTTCATATCTGATGCCGAATTAATGTCATTTCCTTCGTTGAGATACGAACGCATATGACTTTTCATTACGGCGATACGGCGATCACAAATATCCTTTCCAGACTGGGGATCGCTGAAATCGTAACGTCGAACGTTAATGCCAACTCTCTTTGATATAGCCGGAATTGAAAGAATAAGTTGTGCAGCATGATAACATCCGGCGTTATCTGGCCATATGAAAGCTTCCTTGATATTTGGATTGCTCCTTCTAACTTCTTCCAGGACATTCTCAACGATCAACACCACAGCAAACCAATTCTGTGTACACTGGTTGAACACGTGCACGTACGTCTGTACCTGTTATTAGGAATGGTGTTATCAAATGAACTGATTTTAAACAACAAATTGAAAAAAGCATGAAAGTTAAAAATTGATGTAAACAATAAAATCGAATATGTAAATAAGATGAAATGAAATATATGATTTTCACGCTGGGTTTTTCACGCGATTTTCACATTTACGAATAATTCTGTGCACACGTATTATAACAATTTTTCCCCCAAAATGATTAGACAAATTTCCCCCAACATGATTAGACTTTTTACACAAAGCTTATTCTAAAATTAATGTCTAAAAGACAATAGTGGGTTGGTGTGAACTGGTATGCAGTAACTATCACACTTGTGGCAAACAACAAAAAATGCTATTCCTCGAGGTGTATGCCCCATAAGTACGAAAAAAGCGAGAAACTATAATGAAATAAAACGTATAGTTTCACGAAATGATATGAATAAAAAATGAAAATTGATTAGAAGAATTATACCTCCAGCTCTCCGTTTTCACTGTTTTTCGAAATAACAGCAGCGACATGCCATGGGCGACCTTTTTTGCCGTACCAATCTGCTTGGGTTTCTCTGTAGCACGATGGAATAAATTTCATTGCCCAGTCTATTACTAACATAATCTGCGTTAACTTAAGGTCGCCTAAGACAACCGTCTTAGCAGTTTCCTGGTGTACTGTTCTCAGTATATGGGACTTCCAAGCCTTAATTTTATCTACGGCGGTGGTGATGTCGTGGATAACTTGCTGAAGCTCATCATGGCTAGTAGGAAATTAAAAAATAAGCATAGGCCTTTAAGCGAACAAAGAATATTGATAATTTAAACTACAAATACAAACCTTAGTTATACGTCAGCAGTAGATTTTGAGGCATCATCTATTTCTTGCAGAGTCGTTTTTAGCATCTGACATTGATCACATTCGTCGTCGTGCTTATGCTTACACTTAGTCTTAAATTCTGTCTCAGAAGAAGACAAGGCATGGATGCAACAGTGATCTCCACACCTGCTTTCAGACGCAATATGGATCTTGTAATCTGTTTTAAGGTAGTTTTTACTACACTTCAGTTGCTCTTGGATTTTCATGCACCAAGAAAAGGACATACCTACACAAATATACATCACCTATTCAGTAACTCTAAAAAAAGAAAACATGTTCTGTGTTTCTAACGCGGAGTTATAGAAACACGCGTGGTATTTGGGAAACGAGAAATTGATCAGTGGAATTCGTGGAAATACCTGCCAATGGGCGAGGATTAATATTTCTATGAAATTTTGAGTTTCTTCTGAACTTCTTATATGTTCAGAATGGTTTCTATATGATCGCGCAAATTCATAGGACTATTGAGACAAAAATTTCCAACTCTTTTAGTCTACGATTATACAGCACTCACACAGTTACGATATGGCGTAACGAGTGGCATACGCTTGCACGAAATTGCGTAGTGTTTTTACCTGCTTTGGATAATTGCGCGGCCACATCGTGTAAAGTCTGGAAAGCTGAAGATCCTTCTGTAGCAATGTTATCTAGTCCACTAAGACTTTTCTGCTGGGATGCAGCACATTCCTTACAACAATAGCAAAGAGAAAGATCAAACAAGTTTTCACACTAGCATACAGAAGGGGAATGGGGTATCGTAAGAAGTTGTTTCTACGCCAATGGGTTTTAAGAAGATCTGACAAGTCTCAGGGAATATCTAGTACGTATAATAGCTCTTAATATATTTACCTTGAGTATACCAAATTAAGTTGATCTTGCCAGAGGTTCAAAGTTGATCTCTTGGCAAAACGAGAAATAAAGGTTAACAAGTCTGGACGATGTAACGGTCCTCACCACATTGGGTATTTCAAATGCTTCTCCATTGGTAAGCTTGATAGTTCGTGTCCCATAGGCAACATCTTGTAGATAATTTGGACTGGATACAAAATCAATGAAGTGGTCAACTTTAACAGGGTCTAACTTCATTCGGTGAACGTTTGGTACATCAAGTGGTTTTCCTGGCCCAACAAGAGCAGCGTGTTTGCGCACCTCGTCTATACGCCATTTGGACAATCCTGGAACCATCGTTATCAACTGAGGTTTTGTATAATCCTGTGCAAATAATGACAGTATCTCTCTTTTAGTGGACCATGAGTCTGATTCTTCGTAAAGCATGATTAACCTTTTTATCAGTTCACTGTCTTTAGAAGATGGAATGGGCGACGTATCATCTCTCTTTACGAGTGCTAGAAGTGCATTTGATTGGCCAGGTGC